AAAAAATTGTATATATGTCCAGGTGGCCCGTGCCGTATATTGACCAATGCTTGGTACAGATGCATGGAGCCAATATCTTTACTGCTCTGGATTGTGCCCAAGGTTATTGGACAGTCAAGATAAGTCCTGAAGACCAATACAAATTGGCCTTTACCTTCGGCAAAGAGCTATATACAGTGGGGAAAATAATTATTTGATCCCCTGCAGATTTTGTGAGTTTGCTCACTTACAAAGAAATGAAGGGTCTATAATTTTTATCATAGGTGTATTTTAAATGATAGAGACAAAATATCAACCACAAATCCAGAAAAAAACACATGATACAAGTGTTATAAATTGAATTGCAGTTCAATGAGTAAAATAAGTATTTTATCCCCTACAAACCAACAATTCTGGCTCCCACAGACTGGCTATGTGCTCATGTGGTACACAGATTAGTCCTATACATTTAAGAAGGTGTTCCTAATGACAACTCATTATGTGTATAAAAGACATCTATCCACAGAATCTCATTCTTTCTTACCATCATAGGCAAGACCAAAGAGCTGTCAAAGGATCTCAAGGACAAGATTGTAAACCTGTGCAAGGCTGGAATGGGCTACAAAACCATCAGCAAGAAGCTTGGGGAGAAGGAGACAACTGTTGGAGTGATTATTCGCAGATGGAAGAAATACAAAATACCCATCAATTGCCCTCAGTCTGGAGCTTCATGCAAGATTTTGCCTCATGGGGTAAGGATGATCATAAGAAAAGTGAGGGATCAGCTCAGAACTGCATGGGAGGAACTTGTGAATGATCTCAAGGCAGTTGGGACCACAGTCACCAAACAACTCATTGATACCACAATGCGCCACCATGGACTGAAGTCCTTCAGCGCCCACAAGGTCCCCCTCCTCAAGAAGGAACATGTACAGGCCCATCTAAAGTTTGCCAATGAACATCTAAATGATTCAGAGAAGGATTGGCAGAAAGTGCTGTGGTCAGATGAGACCAAAATTGAGCTCTTTGGCATTAACTTGACTTGCTGTGTTTGGAGGTAGAAAAATGCTGACTATGACCCTAAGAACACCATCATTATAGTCAAGCTTGGATGTGGAAACATTATGCTTTGGGGCTGTTTCTCTGCTCAAGGTACAGGCCACCTTTGCCACATTGAGGGACCAATGGACAGGGCCATTTATTGTAAAATCTTGGATGAGAACCTTCTTCCCTCAGCTAGAACACTGGTCTTCCAGTATGACAATGACCCAAAACATACTGCCAAGGTAATAAAGGAGTGGCTCAAGAAGAAGCACATTAAGGTCATGAAGTGGCCTATCCAGTCTCCAGACCTTAATCCTATAGACAATTTATGGAAGTAGCTGAAACTTAGAATTGCCAAGCAACAGCCAAGAATACTTAAGGATTTGTATTTCAATGTTTTTTATAAATTTTTAAACAGTTTAACACAGGAGCAACAAATCATGCCCATACAGGGGCTATCAATTGCACATAACAAAATAGAAAAACAGTGCTCTAACACCAACAGAGCAAAAGGTGTGCCCACGCAGGGGCTATCAATGGCACTTAAATGGCAAAAACATTAGTATAACACCGACAGTAACTTAAACTAAAGGCAGCTATCCACTGCCACAGCAAAAACAAACAAAAAAAAGAAAAGGATGGAGGAGTACAAAAGAAAAAAAAGATAAGAAAACCAAGATCAGGGGTCCGAGAACGCCAATACCGAACAACATCACATCCCCAGACTAGCCAGGGGGAGCGTGGGAAAGGCATATTGCAACCATGGCTCTCATTTTTTCAAGAATTTACTTTGGGAGTCATTGCAGATACTCGACATCTGTTCATTGAGCATCATAGTGGTCATACGGTCCCGCATCCCCTGAAGAGGGACAAACTGGCTCTTCCAGGCCTGAGCAATTGTTCTAGTGGCTGACAAAAACAAATAGGAAGCCAACTTCTGCTGATGAGCCAAGAGGCCGGGTATGGGACAATGAAGCAAAGCATACCGAGCATCTTGGCATATGGAGAGATGGAACAAGGTGAAAAGGAGGTCAGACACACGAGACCAAAAACAAAACAGTCTCGGGCATGACCACCAGATATGCACTACATCACCACGATGGCCACAACCCTGAAAGCATTGATCACTGCAGGCAGGGTTCGCCTGGGCCAAATGAGCCAGAACCCAATACCAACGAAACAATACTTTGCCGCCTCCAGCGCAGTCGTATTAAATTAACATTTAGCTATAAGCAACCAGGCCCTATTCCAGTCCTCCAGATCCAGAACTGCCCGCAGGTCACGCTCCCACTGAACAACATATGAAAGAGAAGTATGCGTTGTGCGTCTGTTGAACGCTGCATAAAGAAGGGAAATAAGGCTCGGGGCGCCCGGGACGCTGTTGGCAAAGCAGTTCAAAGGCAGATTTCTGGTACTGGAAAGCGGAAGTGCCCCGCAATGAGATCAGCCAACAATTGAAGGTAACGAAAAAATTCTGCCAGATGGACATCCCGTGACTCCCGAAGAGAATTCCAGGTAGGGAAGGACCGATAAGTCAAAAAGTGTCGAACCTGTGAAAAACCATTGGCCACCCACCAAAAAAATGCCCTTGGTTGATCTAAACCTGGTGGGAAGAAAGGGTTGTTAGTAATTGGGAGCAAAGGCAAGAAAGGTGACATCAGGCCACTCTAGTAACGTACCGAGTCCCACACTTGTAAGCCATGGAGCAAAATCGGACTCAATGCCATAGGGCGTAGGGCAGGGGAAAGCCATAGAAGCGTCAATGTCACAATAAGGGCACAATTAGGTAGTTCCAGCAGGAACCAGAGAGGAATTTCTGAGGAAGCGTGCAACATAGACAGTGGGGCAATCTGGCTCGCCTGATAATACTTAGTTACATTAGGCACCCCAAGACCACCCTGGAGTCTATGAACAAAAAGTGTATTTCTGGAGACTCTGGGGCACTTATCGGCCCAGATAAAATGCATAATCTTTGCCTGAATCAACCGAAGAAAATGAGGAGGAACCCGTGCTAGGAGGGTGCGAAAATAGTATAACAATTTCTGCAAGAGGGTCATTTTCACTGAATGAATCCATCCTATCCAAGACAGGTGCGGAAATTGCCAAGAATGCATAAGAGAGGACACAGATCAAAGCAATGGATAATAATTTGCAGCAAACAATGAGTCATAAGTGGGGGTCAAGCGAATACCTACATATTCAAGAGAAGAGGAATCCCATTTGTAAGGGAAGTGGGACTGTAGGCGTGAAACCAAATCTGAGGCCAAAGTAAATATTGAGAGCGACAGTCTTACCCAAATACTTAAGAATTTGGAGATCTGTAAATAAAAGTGGACCTGAGATGTGTGCAAACCTGGTAACAAAACAACAAGAAACATCTTACCTCTGTGCTTGCCAACAAGGGTATCTGCACCAAGAATTAAGTCATGTTTTGCTTGGGGATCAAATGCTTACTTTACTTACTGAACTGCAACTCAATTTTATAGCATTTCTATCATGTTCTTCTGGATTTGTGTTTGATATTCTGTCTCTATCATTTAAAATTCACCTATGATAAAAATTATAGACCCTTCATTTCTTTGTAAGTGGGCAAACTTATAAAATCTGCAGGGGATCAAATAATTTTCCCCACTGTACCTGGACCAGAATTTTCTGCCTTTCAGTCACATAAACTCAGGCCTTGAATTTGCTGTGTTTTTACATAAGGCTATGACTGATGCCACTGAGAGAGGAAATTTAGCATATGTGGATGATATTTTATTGAAAAGTACTTCTTTTGAAAAGCATATCCAATAAATTAGACATGTGCTTAATCAGTTGAGAGAGGCAGGTGTTAAATTCTCATTACAGAAAGCCCAATGGTGCCGTACCAAAGTAAAATTCTTGGGACACGAGGTTACCTCTGCCTAAATTCACAAAAGAATAAAGTAGAGGCTGTGATTAAGTCTAAAAAAAACCTACCAGCATCAGTAAACTGAGATAATTTCTGGGTATGATAAATTATTCATGTAAATTTATTAAATTTATTGATAATTATGCAAGGATCTCTCGTTGGATCAGTTCGCTCAGGCGTTGCAGACGCTGCTTGCACGCACAGCGCACCTTACTCCTGGTGCTATTAGGCCAGTTGTCACTCCTGTGGTCGCTCCCGCTGTTGCTCCGGTTGTTGCGCCTACCTCCGCATCTGCTGCCACACCTGCAGTGCCCAGAGGTATGACTGGTTCAGCCCCCCTTCCACAGCGGTTTGGGGGTGAGCCGAGTCAGTGTCTGGGTTTCCTTAACCAAGGGGGCATATATTTTGAATTGATACCCCATGCTTTTCCTACGGAGAGGTCAAAGGTGGGCTTCCTAATATCGCTGCTCTCGGACAAGGCCTTGGCCTGGGCAAATCCCTTATGGGAGAACGATAACCCTGTGATTCATGAGTTTGCTGGTTTTGTTGCCTCCTTCCATAAGGTATTTGATGTGCCTGCTCGCGCCGCCTCTGCTGCTAAGCTGCTCATGTCCATGCATCAGAGTTCACAAACCGTTGAGTACGCCATCGAATTTCGTACCCTGGTGGCAGAGGTGGGTTGGAACAATGAGGCTCTGGTGGCTGCTTTCTCTCATGGTCTCTCAGATGCGTTGAAGGACGAGATTGCAGCCAAAGAACTGCCTGTGGAGCTCGAAGCACTCATTACCTTCCTAGTCCTGATTGACGCCAGACTCAGGGAGAAGCCTTCACTTAAGGAGCGTCTGCGGAGGCCTCCTAACCGATTGGCACCTACATTTTCTGTCCCACCCGTTCCTCCCTCTCCTCCTCCCACGCCTCCTGAGGATGGCTTGTCTGCCGGTGAGCCCATGCAGCTGGGGTTTGCTTGCCTTTCCGAGGGGGAGCAGGCCGCTCGGCGTCGGGAGGGTCGTTGCCTGTACTGTGGTCTCGGTGGGCATTTTCGGCAGTCCTGTCCAGTCCGTCCCGGAAACGCTCGCATCTGAGATCCTGTCGGGGGCAGATCTTGGGTGGAGTTTCCTCATCCCCGGTTTCCCGCAAAGATAAACCGCTAATCACCGTTGTCCTCTCTTGGGCAGAAGGCTCGGTGACGGCCCAGGCGTTGGTAGACTCTGGGGCTGGCGGGTTGTTTATGGACAGTTCCTTTGCTGCCCAGTACTCCATTCCTCTGCAGGCTCGAGTTACTCCATTGGTCCTCGAGGCGATAGATGGCAGGCCCCTGCAACCGCCGCAGGTTACCCACGAGACCCTGCCGATTGAAGTAACTATTGGGGCTGTTCACAGGGAGTTGGCCTGTTTCCAGGTAATTTCTTCCCAGAACTACTCCGTGGTTATGGGATATCCCTGGCTTCAGAAGCACAATCCGACCTTTGATTGGCGGTCGGCCGAGATTCTCTCGTGGTCTCCACAGTGTGGGGCCGGTTGCATCCGTGGACCTGTTAAGGTGTTGTGTGCCTCCTCGGACTCTGTGTTGCCTACTGACTATGCGGAGTACCTGGACGTGTTTGACAAGGTGCGCGCCGGTGCTCTGCCTCCTCATCGTCCATACGATTGTGCCATAACCTTACAACCCGTTGCCAATCCTCCGCGTGGTAGGGTGTATCCTCTTTCAGTTGCGGAGAATCAGGCCATGGAGGAGTATGTTGCGGATGCGCTTTCCCGGGGGGCACATTCTCAAGTCTACTTCTCCAGCAGGAGCTGGCTTTTTCTTTGTGAAAAAGAAGGGCGGTGAATTGAGGACTTGCATTGATTTTAGGGGTCTCAATCAAATCACGATTAAGAATGCTTACCCAATTCCGTTGATTACCGAGTTGTTCAACCGCCTCAAGGTAACAATGGTCTTTACTAAACTCGACCTTAGGGCTGCGTACAACCTTGTGTGGATCAAGGAGGGCGACGAGTGGAAGACCGCGTTCAACACCAGAACCGGCCACTATGAATCCCTGGTTATGCCCTTCGGGTTGTGTAACGCGCCTGCGGTCTTTCAGGAGTCCTTTAATGATGTCTTTTGTGACTTGTTGCAGCAGTGCCTGGTGGTTTACTTGGACGACATCCTGGTTTACTCTGCGTCTATGGAGTCTCATATCCAGGATGTTAAGCGGGTGCTGCAACGGTTACGTGAGAACGAGCTTTTCTGTAAGCTCAAGAAGTGTGAATTTCACCAATCCCAGGTTGCCTTTTTGGGCTACATCATTTCCGCGGTGGGGATTTTCCATGTAAAAAGGTTTTGAGAACCACAATTGGGCTCAGGGTTGAATGTCTGCTGCTGCTCCTGATTTTGAGATATGGATTGCGTGCACGCCGGAAAATAATTACATGGACAACTGTCCAGTACAACCATTTTCACATCATCTCTGTTCATTGCAGGGCAGTGCTTAACCTTTTATACAAGGAGAACAATAGGGTATACGTCACTATTATGTAAATACAGTCACATTCTAAAGGCACATTTCGCTTGGCTGAAATATGGGAGAAGTGCAGAAACTTGATGCTAGAGGCCCGTTATCTATTCACTCCCCCTCACATTTTCAAAGCCCAAGAATAAGATCCTCAGCTCGAAAGGAGGAGTTGAGAACATCGCTCTGAACAAACAAGTTAAGGAGGACTGCAAAGCCCAGCAGACAAAATATATATATACGGACAACACATATATTTAGAAATATGAAAAAGTATAAAAGTAAATATATATATAAAATGTATATTTTAAACAGGAAACCGAATAGGCATTTTACCAAATCCATCACAGTCCCCCCTTAAAATGACTATTTTACTCTGTCACTATAAAGCCTAGCTCATTTGTCCTTAAGTACCTTGGAACTCTTTTATGCTGTACGTTAGACAGGTGATGACTATTTCATCACCCCCCTTGCCACAGATTTTGTATATAAGGAAGTCAGATGCTATCCCTACAAAATTGTTAACAGTTATTATGGGAATTAATGACTCAAAACCAGCTTTTACCTGGTCCCTGGCTTTGAATTCATCAGGGACCCCCCTTGAGACCCCTATGGCATCTATGTATACATGAGGGTCAAAACTTCTGGAGGGAGCTGTCTGCTTCCTCCTGTGACTAGATGCTGAGTCAGTGTGTGTGTCAGGGGTATCTTCTGTTAGGATATGGAGAGGCATAATGACCTTTGCAAAGGCATATTCACCGGTCCAGGTTCCCTCTAGCCTGGTCCTGATCTTTAGGTCCCCACAGATCCAGTATATGTCACCAAGGGACTGTCCCTAAATGTGGCCTGGCACTACCACAGACATAGCAGTTACTTCTGTTATGTTGTTTGGCACTGAATCTCATCCACTCAAGCCACAGGTTAGTGTCTGAGAACCCGGTTTCAGCCGCCATCGTCTCTTCAAAAGTAGGGTTTGCTATTGCTATCATGTCTTTTAAGTAAAATTTTGCTTGAGGTGTACCTTTCTGTGGATGCCTGCCTAACCAGTAAAGTCCTGCATCGCCAGGGCTGGGATTCTCAATGTTTAGGACGAGTCTTTCTCCGCAATCACTGCACCCTGACTTCCAGATGGACATACGTTTAATGAGAGGCTTCCCCACCTTACCTTTCCTTTTTAAGGCACTCCATGGTTGATACCCCCAACCTGCTCCAGTACTCCATCCCACTGATCCCCAATGGGCACAATTCGGTCCCCAAAAATCATCCGTTATACATATGTATATCAGATCCGAGTTGATCGCCAGACAAGCCCGCTGTGCCCAACCCGGTCTATGACTATTGCAATATATGGGTATCATACTACAAAAAACAAAGGTGAACGCAGCCACATATATGTTGGATGAATTGTACCAGAATATGAAGGTGTCATTCATCCTAGTGATGGCCACCTGTTGAACACCTGTTTTGGTGCTAGCCACCTGCTGAGCTTCTATCAAACTCATTAGGAAAAGGATATACAACACAATCATCGTGGTGCAGGCAGAATCTTGTCTTCAGGAGATAGGGCTTTCTTGCAATGGGAGGCGTGTATCCAGGTGTTTTTTCCCTTCTAGCTTGACTGATGTAGCTGTGGTCAACAGGACTTGGAATGGTCCTTCGAATCGGGGATCAAGTGAATTTTCCCTCGTGAATTTCTTCACCAACACCCAGTCTCCTGGCTGAAGACTATGAGTTCCCGAGTCTGCCTCTGGATCTGGAATGGAGGGAAACACTCAGACATAGATACGGGTTAATTCACGTGATAATGCAGTCACATAATTAGTTAACACATCAGATTGTAATTGCAACTGTTGTGGAAAGTAACGGCCAAGTCTGGGGGCTGAGCTAAACAAAATCTCATAAGGGGACAGGGCATGTTTCCCCCGGAGGGTGTGTCTGACACTAAACAGAGCAATGGGCAAACTGTCTGGCCAACTCACGTTGGTCTCTTGGGCCATCTTTAGCATGCTGTTTTTTAGAGTCCCATTCATCCTTTCTACCTTCCCACTGCTTTGAGTGTGATATGGGGTGTGTAGGGCCAACTCAACCCCCAGTGCTGTCCAAATCTCTTTTGTAAGGGTTACTGTGAAGGCTGGACCCTGATCACTCTCTCTATCACCTCTAGGACCCCAAATCTACAGACTACCTCACTCAGTAGTTTCTTAGCCGTGGTCTTGGCTGTCATGTTTGTAACAGCATAGGCTTCCGGGCCAACCAGAGAACATATCCACCACCACTAGGGCATATTCATATCGGCCACTTTTTGACATCTGTATATGATCAATCTGTATTCTCTGGAATGGATAGATGGTTTTTCCAGATGTTTCTGCGGTGTGTTTTCTGTCCTCCCCGGGTTGCATTTTGCACATACTACACACGAGGTGCAGTAATTTCTGGTTAAGGTGGTTATCCCTGGAGCCCAGTAATACTTGCTGATCTGTGAGTTCATTAAGTTCTTAGAGAGATGTGCATGTCCATGCACCCATTGGACGACTGCTGGATACATATATTTTGGTAAACAAGTTTTTCCTTTCATCAAATACAATTCTCCATCATAGTCTGCTCCTTTATCAATCCATTCCAACCTTTCTTCTGTGTAAGCAGCCATTTGCATAGAGACTAGATATTGCTTGTCGGATGGCACATGCACCACCAAAAGCATCTGTGCTGAGGTCTCACTCCCCCCTTCGGCCACCTCGGCTGTTTTTCGTTGGTTTTTCATTGCTTCTTTGGCAGCTTTATCCTCCAAGTGGTTTCCTCTGGCCTCTTGAGAATTCAGTTTGCCATATGCTTTAACCTTCAAGAGAGCCACTTGGTCAGGCAGGAGCAGTGCATCCATTAAACCCTTGATGGCTGGGCCGTGTTTCACCGGTGTTCCAGCCGCTGTCAGAAACCCTCTGGCTTTCCAGATGATACCAAAATCATGAGCTACTCCAAAGGCGTACCTTGAGTCTGTGTAAATGTTGGCTCTTTTACCTCCTGCCATCTTACACGCTGTAGTGAGGGCTTGAAGCTCTGCTTCCTGAACAGATAAAGTTGGTGGTAATGCTCCTGCTTGTAGAATTTCAAATTCTGAGGTCACAGCATAACCTGTGTGGTACTTGCTTCCTTCATCTGCATATCTGGAGCCATCCACAAAAAGTGTGTAGTCAGGGTTTTCCAGAGGAATTTCACTCACTGTAGGGAGATGTGTGGTTTCCATGCACATCATTTCGAGGCAGTCATGTGGAGTAGTGCAGGGGTCTCCTTCTTCACCTTCACCTTCTTCTCCCCCCTCGAAAAATGGCAGAAGGATGGCCGGGTTGAGGGTGAGACACCTGTGGAGGGTCAAATTGTCAGGAATGAGGAGGGAGATTTGCAACCATAGATGTCTGGCCATAGACAGATGTCAGGATTGTACCTGATTCAGGATGGCAGCAATGTCATGCGGTGCCAGAAGAAGCAGGGGGTGTGCTAAAACGAGGTCTGAAGTTTTGTCCAACAGTGCTTGAGCAGCGAAGACAGCTCTGAGACAAGAAGGGCCACCCCTAGCTACAGGGTCCAAGTGGCAAGAATAGTACACAATGGGTCTGGTCTGCCCTCCATATACTTGAGCTAGGATCCCGGGGCGTGGCCTTGCTTTTCTCATAATCTGGAAGTCCCAAGGCAGGAGCAGTGGATATTGCTTGCTTCAGCAGAATAAAATTGTCCAGGGCCTCATTTGACAAGGTAAATGGCACAGACTTGAGAGCCTCATAGAGTGGTTGCATGAGGACCAATGCATCAGGGATGCATGCCCTGCAGTAGGATATAAGAAAGGCATGCAGTTGTTTAGCAGCTTTAGGTTGGGGAATATCCTGGATTGCAGCTACACGGTCCTCATGGGTGAAGACGAAAAGCTACTGGCTATCTTGGGCAAGGGGCACACTGAAGAAGGCATTGGTCAGGTTCAACACTGTGAAATACTCAGCCTCTGGAGATACACCTGATAATAAAGTATGTGGATTTGGCACAATTGGGGTATCCAACACCGTGGCTTTGTGTCAAAGTCCTACCTTTCCTCAGAGCTTGTGCATCTCCATGTGCTGGCATCCATCTTAGGTTTCTGCAAAACATGGTGGGAACCTTTATGCCTTCAGGCTTCTGTGGCTCCTCCTCAGAAGGGTGTGGTTAATCACATTTAAGCCTGCTGTCTGCAAGTGCTCTCTGCATTCGTGTCCTGTATGTTATCTTGTCGCAAGCTCTTTTGCTGTTCTCGTTGCTCTCCTGGTAACTGACTCGGCTTGGACAAGACTAATCGCTGCTTGAACCCTTTACCTGACCTCCCATTGCTGAACCCAGCCCGTGACTTGAGTATTCTTTGCCTACCGTCTAGTACTGTCTGCTCCATTGTTATTGACCCGGCCTGTCTGAGTACGCTAAACGTGTTCCCATCTAGCTCCCACCAGCTGTACGCCATTGGCGGCAGTTGTTACCGCAGCTGGGGTTACTCAGGGGCCGCGACCTGGTCTCAGGCTGCGTCAAGTCCATCCCCACCATCAGGGGCTCTGGTGAAGGGTAGCCTGGGGCTTAGACTTCGCGCCCTGAGGGACTCTGGTCTGTGGGTATTGGCTGTCGTCAGTTGCTGCGTGACCTTACCATAGGCCTGCCTGCCCATTCCATCGTTCCTGCCCTGACATTACACGAATGCCATGAATCCTGACGGTGCAGGTACGCCTTCGATCCCCATGTTACTCACCAGACTTGACCAACAGGATTGCTTGTTGGATCAGTTCGCTCAGGCGTTGCAGGCTCTGCTTGCACGCACAGCGCACCTTACCCCTGGGGTTATTAAGTTGGTTGTCACTCCGGTGGACACTCCCACTGTTGCTCCGGTTGTTGCGCCTACCTCCGCAGCTGTTGCTGAACCCGCGGTACCCAGAGGTATGACTGGTTCTGCCCCTCTTCCACAGCGCTTTGGGGGTGAACCGAGTCAGTGTCGTGGTTTCCTTAACCAAGTGGGCATTTACTTTGAGTTAATACCCCACGCTTTCCCTATTGAGAGGGCAAAGGTGGGCTTCCTAATCTCGCTACTCTCTGATAGGGCCTTGGCCTGAACTAATCCCTTATGGGAGAGGAATGACCCGGTGATTCACTAGCTTACCCGTTTCGTTGCCTCCTTCCATACGGTATTCGACGTGCCTGCTCGCTCCGCTTCTGCTGCCAGGTTGCTCATGTCCATGCATCAGGGTTCATGAACCGTTGCCGAGTACGCCATCGAATTTTGTACCCTGGCGGCAGAGGTGGGTTGGAACAATGAGGCTCTGGTGGCTGCTTTCTCTCATGGTCTCTCAGATGCGTTGAAGGACGAGATCGCAGCCAAAAAACTGCCTGTGGAGCTAGAGGCACTCATATCCTTCCTAATCTTGATTGACACCAGGCTCAGAGAGAGGCCTTTATTTAAGGAGTGTCTGCGGAGGTCTCCTAACCGTTTGGTGCCTACATTTTCTGTCCCACCCATGCCTCCCTCTCCTCCCACGCCTCCTGGGGATGGCTTGTCTGGTAGTGAGCCCATGCAGCTGGGATTTGCTCGCCTTTCTGAGAGGGAGCGGGCCTCTCGGCGTCGGGAGGGTCGCTGCCTGTACTGTGGTTTCGGGGGGCATTTTCGGCAGTCCTGTCCGGTCCGTCCGGGAAACGCCCGCACCTGAGATCCTGTCGGGGGCAGATCTTGGGTGGGGTTTCCTCATCCCCCCGGTTTCCCGTAAAGATAAACCGCTTATCACCGTTGTCCTCTCTTGGGCAGAAGGCTCGGTGACGGCCCAGGCGTTGGTAGACTCTGGGGCTGGCGGGTTGTTTATGGACAGTTCCTTTGCTGCCCAGTACTCCATTCCTCTGCAGGCTCGAGTTACTGCATTGGTCCTGATAGATGGCAGGCCCCTGCAACCGTCGCAGGTTACCCACGAGACCCTGCCGATTGAAGTAGCTATTGGGGCTGTTCACAGGGAGTTGGCCTGTTTCCAGGTAATTGCTTCTCCGCACTACTCTGTGGTTTTGGGCTATCCCTGGCTTCAGAAGCACAATCCAACCTTTGATTGGCGATCGGCCGAGATTCTCTCATGGTCACCACAGTGTGGGGCCTGTTGCATCCGTGGTCCGGTTAAGATGTTGTGCACCTCCTCGGACTCTGTGTTGCCCACTGAATATGAGGAGTACCTGGACGTGTTTGACAAGGTGGGTGCCGGTGCTCTGCCTCCTCATTGTCCATACGATTGCGCCATAACCTTACAACCCGGTGCCACTCCTCCGCGTGGCAGGGTGTATCCTCTTTCGGTGGCAGAGAATCAGGCCATGGAGGAGTATGTTGCGGATGCGCATTCCCGGGGGCACATTCGCAAGTCTACTTCTCCTTCAGGAGCTGGGGTTTTTTTTTAGTGAAAAGGAAGGGCAGGGAGTTGAGACCTTGCATTGATTTTAGGGGTCTTAATCGAATCACGATTAAAAATGCTTATCCTATTCCGTTGATTACCGAGTTGTTTGACCGCCTCAAGGGAGCAACGGTCTTTACTAAACTCGACCTTAGGGCTGCGTACAACCTCGTACGGATCAAGGAGGGCCACGAGTGGAAGACCCCGTTCAACACCAGAACCGGCCACTATGAAATCCCTGGTTATGCCCTTCGGGTTGTGTAACGCACCCGCGGTCTTTCAGGAATTTATTAATGATGTCTTTCGTGACTTGTTGCAGCAGTGCTTGGTGGTTTACTTGGACGACATCCTGGTTTACTCTGCGTCTATGAAGTCCCACATCCAGGATGTCAAGCGGGTGCTGCAACGGTTGCATGAGAACAAGCTCTTCTGTAAGCTCGAGAAGTGTGAATTTCACCGATCCCAGGTTGCCTTTTTGGGCTACATCATTTCCGCGGTGGGTTTTTCCATGGACCGAGAAGGTTTTGGCGGTTCTGCAGTGGCCTCGTCCCAGTGGTCTTCGGTCCATTCAGCTCTTTTTGGGATTCGCCAACTATTATCGGAAGTTTATCAGGAACTTCTCCACGCTGGCCAAGCCTCTCTCGGATCTGACCAAGAAGTGCAGTAATCAACACGAGTGGCCACTCGAGGCCATCTCAGCTTTCGAGGCTCTGAAATCCGCCTTCGCTTCGGCCCCGAATCTGTCTCATCCCAATCCTGGGTTGCCTTTTGTCCTCGAGGTTGATGCATCTGAGACAGGAGTAGGCGCCCTCCTGTCTCAGCATCAGTCACCCGAGGGACCCCTACTTCCTTGTGGGTTCTACTCCAGGAAGCTTTCCTCCGCAGAGTGCAACTACCAGATTGGAGACAGAGTTGTTGGCCATTATTCTGGCTCTCAAGGAATGGAGGCACCTGCTTGAGGGTTCTGTGGTTCCGGTTCTCATTCTCACTGACCACAAGAACCTGACATATCTCTCAGAGGCTAAGAGGTTGACGCCCCGTCAGGCCAGATGGGCTCTGTTCTTGTTGCGTTTTAACTATGTGGTCTCTTATTTGCCTGGCTCCAAGAATGTCAGGGCTGATACCTTGACGCGGCAATACTCTGAGCTGTCCAGGGAGGACACTGAGCAGACCTCGGTCATTCCTCCAAACCAGAGGCTGGTTTCTCCCCTTGGGGAGCAGATTTTGGTGGCTCCAATGAACGCTCCCCCTGAGAGACCGGCTGGAAGATGTTTTGTACCTGAGGGATTGCGTACACCCTTGCTGCGTACCTACCATAATTCCAAGACTGCCGGTCATCCTGGTAGGAACCAGTTGTCTTGGGTCGTTTCTCGGTTATTCTGGTGGCCATCTCTCCATTCTGACATCGCCTCATATGTAGCGGCATGTTCGGTCTGTGCCCAGAATAAATCTCCTCGGCATCTTCCATTGGGCCTTTTGGAACCCATTCCCAATGGGGAGCGTCCCTGGTCACACCTGGGCATGGATTTTATTGTGGACCTTCCTGCGTCTCAAGGCCATACAGTCATTCTTATGGTCATTGATCGTTTTTCCAAGATGTGCCATTGTGTCCCGTTCAAGAAATTGCCGACTGCGCAAGAACTGGCTACGGTTTTCGCCAGGGAGACCTTTGGCTTGCATGAGTTGCCCAAGGTGATTGTCTCGGACCGTGGGAGCCAGTTTGTGTCCAGGTTCTCTGGCGCGCCTTCTGCTCCCAGTTGGGTATCGAGCTTTCTTTCTCTTCGGCCTACCACCCGCAGTCCAATGGGGCTGCGGAGCGTTCCAACCAGGCCCTGGTACAATTCCTTTGTTGCTATATATCGGATCATCAGGACAATTGGGTCGATCTCCTACCATGGGCAGAGTTTGCGAGGAACTCGGCTGTCAACTCCTTCTCCGGGATGTCCCCCTTCATGGCCAACTATGGGTTCCAACCCGCTGTATTGCCTGAGTTGTTCTCGCCACAGGACATTCCGGCTGTGGATAACCATCTTGCTGCCCTGCGCTCCTCGTGGGGGCAGATCCAGAGGTCCTTGAAGGACTCAGCACAGCGCCAGAAGCTCCAGGCTGATCATAGACGGTTGCTCGCTCCTTCATGCCAGGTTGGAGATCGGGTGTGGTTGTCCACTCACAAGCTCAATCTTCGGGTGCCTGCACCGAAACTGGCCCCCCGTTTTGTTGGTCCTTTCCGCATTCTCCGCAGGGTGAATCCGGTTGCCTATGCCCTTGCTCTTCCTCCTGGGATGCGTATCTCCAATGTCTTCCATGTATCCCTGTTGAAACCTCTGGTCTGTAATCGCTTTACTGCCTCTCTGCCTCAGCCTCGTCCTATCCGGGTTGACGGTCATGAGGAGTATGAGGTGAGCCGCATCTTGGATTCTCGGTTGGTCCGCGGTCGGGTGCAGTTTCTGGTCCATTGGCGTGGTTATGGTCCCGAGGATGTTCATGCTTCTGCCCTCCTCCGCACTTTTCATGCCCGATTTCCTCAGAAACCTTTTGTTGAGCCACGGAGGGGGAGGGGCTCTTGAGGAGGAGGTACTGTCAAGGTCCTACCTTTCCTCAGAACTTGTGCATCTCCATGTGCTGGCATCCATCTTAGGTTTCTGCAAAGCATGGTGGGAACCTTTATGCCTCCTGCCCTGACACTTTGTTAACTGCCCGCAGATCCTGCACCATTCTGTACCTGTTTGCTTCCCCCTTTGGTGTTTTCTTCTTGACAGGAAATAGGGGTGTGTTTACATGGTGAGGTGCAGGGGACCAAGGCTCCGTTCTGGACTAGAGCAACTACATGTTTAGCTAAAGCTTCTGACTGTGCCAGTTTGAGTGGATATTGTGGCTTTTGGGGCAATGTTGCGCCCTCTCTTGAGCTTGACTGAAACCAGTGGCACCTTCAAATGACCAATGTCTTCGGGTCCTGTGGACCATAAGCATGTAGGGATTCTATCAAGTACTTCCTGTGGTATTGCACCTGGGGTTATTGCTTCATGTAATGTCATCATGAGGGGTGAGGGGCACAAGGCAGAGGAGTCCTCCAAGGATAGGGGAGTGTGGTAGGAACCATTCTGGTTTAGAACAGGGAGAACTGGGTATATGCCTTGATTGGGCCTTCCGGGTGTGCCAAGATAGCCACCAGGCGGAAGTGCACTGGGCTGGACAGGGAGTGACAATACAGGTGCAGCAAGATGGCTGCTGGTGGGAATAAAGTGGGCGTTAGACGAAGGGCAGGGCTGTCCCTCCCCTCCTCCGCCCCACATAAAATTCCTCTCTCTGTTCCTTCAATAATTTTCGCCAGTCCTCCCAGCTGAAGTCGGGCAACGCTGACCTTGAAGTCACAAACTTTTGCTACTTTAGATAACTTTTTAACTGCTTCACTTCCTTCTCTCCTCTTCACAATAGCACATGCTAGCAATCCTTTCTGGCTTGGCTGTCTTCTGACCCATTTTCCTCTCCTCTCTCTCGGTCACCCAACTCGTATCCAAACTCTTCTTGCTCTGTTCTGTTCTTTCGCCGTAGTCTCAGCTAACAGTTACAGGGGCAGCGCGGGCAAACTAATAGGTTAATATCCCTCTGCTGCTTTCTGTTTTATCTCAGAACAAACAGTAATCCACAAATACACTCAGCACAGGACATTACACCTGCCGCCCCTCGCTCCGTGAAGCCTCAGCAGCTGAGCTAAACCCTCAGGGGTCTCCCACACTGTCAACCCTGAGTCACCGTCTGTAGACGCTTGTTGCAAGGTTCCGTCTCCTCAGGGGCCGACAGCTCACCTGGCCGAAAACCCAATTGCAACTTATCTTTCAGTCTACTGAGTTATCACAGTCGCACAGGATGACAGACACTGAACAAATAATACACAGTCAGCAGAGATCTAGTGGCAGGTTCGTTAAACTGCCCCAGGCGAGGAATAAAAATTATCTGCCTCTAGATGGCCTCCGGAAGCCGACAAGACCTGCAGCCAGACTGGACAGAAACAAATCGTACAGTGGCAAGTATAAAAGTACTTACCGTACGTAGGGTTGCGCAGGCCCTTTTGTTCTGTCCTGGCCAGCCGCTCAGTCCCTCGTGCGGTCTTCCATCGGTCAGAACCTGGGGCCCCACGTGGGCGCCAGCTAAAAAGGTTTTAAAAACCACATTTGGGCTCAGGGTTGAATGTCTGCTGCTGCTCCTGATTTTGAGATATGGATTGCGTGCACGCCGGAATAATTACACGGACAACTGTCCAGTACAACCACTTTCACATCATCTCTGTTCATTGCAGGGCAGTGCTTAACCTTTTATACAAGGAGAACAATAGGGTATACGTCACTATTATGTAAATACAGTCACATTCTAAAGGCACATTTCGCTTGGCTGAAATATGGGAGAAGTGCAGAAACTTGATGCTAGAGGCCCGTTATCTATTCATTCCCCTCACATTTTCAAAGCCCAAGTATAAGATTCTCAGCTCGAAGGGAGGGGTTGAGAACATCGCTCTGAACAAACAAGTTAAGGAGGACTGCAAAGCCCAGCAGACAAAATATATATATACGCACAACACATATATTTAGAAATATGAAAAAGTAAATATATATATATATATATATATATATATATATATATATATATATAAAAATGTATATTTTAAACAGG